GATATCGATACAGGTCGGCATAGCGGGACTCATGTCCTGCAGACAACTGAAATAACTCTTCATCTGGAAAATCGTCCACCAATTCCTCCTCTGTCGGCTGGGTCCATAATTGGGACAAGTAATCCGCATTTTCGTGGTGCACCCCTTTCCTGGTCTGGACTGTGTAGGTGAACTCTTGTAGTAACAACACCCACCTGGCGATCCGACCGGATAGGTCGGCTTTCTTGACTAGGTGTTGCAATGCGTAGTGGTCCACATGGAACACAAACTCGTAGCAGATTAGGTAGTGACGGAACTTTTTACAGGAGTACACCATCCCCAAGGCTTCTCTCTCAGTCGTGGTGTACTTCCGCTCTGCTAGAGACAGCTGTCGGCTCGCGAAGTAGATCGGGTAGTCCTTTTTGTTGTCATCCTTTTGACTCAGTACTACACCGATGGCGAATGCAGATGTGTCAACGTAAACATGGAATGGTCGATTCCAGTCTGGACTCCTTAGTACGGGAGCAGTCGTGAGTTTCGCTTTAAGAGCCTCAAATGCTGACTGCTGGTTCGCACCCCAAGCATAAGGCTCGTCCTTCTTCAACAACTTGGTCAGGTCCGCCGCCAGTATTGCATACAGGTGTATGAATCTTCGGTAGTAGCCCACATGACCCAGGAATGCTCGCAGCTCTCTTAGATTCGTGGGTGGCTCAAGCTCGAGTATAACCTTGACCTTCTCGATGTCCACCGCAATGCCGTCTGCCGAGACCCGATGACCCAACAAGATCCCACTAGTCATAAAGAAAAAGCACTTCTCGGGATGCAGTGATAAACTGCTCTCTCTACATTTATCGAAGGTCTGCTTCAAGTGACTTAGGTGTTCAGACCGCTTCCCAAAGACACAGAAGTCATCTATGAATATTTCCAGGAACTTCCTCAGTTGTTCCTGGAAGATATTGGTCATCATCCGTTGAAAGGTGGCAGGCGCGTTGCACAGGCCGAAGGGCATCTTGTGGTATGCGTAAGTTCCCCAGTCGGTTGTGAACGTAGTTTTATCCTTGTCCTGTTCCCGGATAGACACCTGATTGTAACCTGAGAACCCATCCAGGAAGCTATAACATTCATGTCCTGCGACATGGTCTAGAATGGCATCCGTGAATGGTAACGGGTGATGATCCAATATCCACAGAACGGGTTGCGTGCCTTCGAGGAGCGGCTGATTGCAAGAAAGCTTGATTTCTTGCTGTGGGGATGGAATTACATTTGTGTAGACATGGTGCGCGAATGGCTGGATGCGGAGCGACCACCTACGCGCGGATTGCGTCCGCACGTAGATCGGTGGACCGTCTACGATTGGGCGCAGGCATTGGAGAGGTGTGCCGGCACCGACGGGTACCTCCTCTTTGATAGTGAGAGCGTCAAGGTGACGAAGCAGGACGAGGCGCAATTTGTGGAATTGTTCAAGCGGGAGAGGTCTACCAAGAACGGGTACAAGACCCGCGACTACAAAGATCGCTTCCGCCGAACTGTAGCGGCGGCGCTGCTGCAATTGCTGCAGCCACACCGCACCTCATACATCACCTTATGGCAGGTTTCTTTTGTGGAGCTCATCTTGGCCGGAGCTCTAGTTCACTGGGCGAGCATCCTGCATAGAGTGATGCGACAGCACGCCTTCGAGGAGAAGGGGGGAACGCTCAATCACCTCTCCCCGTTCTTGATAAACTTCTATCGGCAGAGGAACTGTTTGTCCGCGGCGGAGCTCGCTCGCTTTCCGCAATTGTCCGTCGACCATCCCAAGAAGTATGTGCGGGATAACGAGGTCGACACCGATGCAGAGGATTCACCAGCTTCTACTCCGCCGACCGGGCGGGACGATGGAAGAAGCACACCCGCAGCAAGAGTGCCGCGGAAGAGGAGATGGAGAGCGGAACCAGAGGAGGAGCAGCATCGAGAACCCACTGCTCCCATACGACAGCGGCCACTGCACGAAGTGTGCAGCCGGCCGAAGCAGAAGGCGCGCAGGCTTGTGTTACCAGCCAGCAGCGCGGACACGGCGACGATCGCCACGGAGAAGGGAAGTGCGTCACCGGAGAGGATCGAGAGAGCGCGGATGTCCGCAGGAGCGGCGGACCACGCTACACCTCCGGCGGACGAGAGGCGGCCTTCGGGCCAAGGGCCTCCGGAGTTACCACGTGTGATGCGGACGAGTGTTCCGCCTACGCACAGGCGATTTCCAGCGGATAGGCGACCTCAAGCAGACGGGGACCTCTGCCTACGTGTAGGCAGAGAAAGTTCGCCTACGCACAGGCGGCCGCCTACGAGTAGGCAGGATTCACCCCCGGTACAACGTAGAAAGGGGAAGGAGCAAGCTGAAGATCCGCCTTCGGGTCAAGGGCCTTCGAGACCAGACCCTCCGGCGTATAACGCGCCGCGATTTGCGCCTTCGGCGCCAGGGCCTTCGGGCCATCGAGTTTTTAGCAGGGAGCGTGCGGAGACCGCACCTTCGGCGGGTAATCCTCCGGCAGATGCGCCTTCGGCGGTAGGGCCTTCGGGGCCATGTACATCGGGCGAGCGGCCTTCGGCTCTGTCGCCTTCGGCGCTGCGCATGCGGCGGACCAGGCGCCGGTAATTACGCCTACGCGCAGGCCAGACGCAGCCCTCGCGAAGGACCTAACGGAGGAGCTGATTGTCTGTCCGCGGGACGAAATTCGAGTGCGCGATGCGCAATTACACCCCGCGCAGACACATTCCGCTCGATCGCCTGCGGCGGCGGACGTCGGCGGCGAAGAGGAGACGATCGACGATCGGCAGGCGGATGATGGGGATGTAGCACGGCCACATTCACCCACCGCCTTGGACATTTTAGCGGGGAGCAGCGAAGCTGCAGGAGTGCCATCGGCGGCAGCACCCGCAGATCACTCGCAGCCCCACTCGGGCCAGTCGCCAACGCAATCAATGGCGACTGAAATCCTTCCCTCGGACGATGACGAAGGAGGATCCACAGAAGCAATGTTGGGATCAGGAGACACCGAGGAGGAGGAGGAGGAAATCGTTGGAGCGCCGGCGGCGGCGCTCTGTGAGCAAGTAGTACCTCTGCTGAGGTACTTGGACCGCAAGTTTGATAAATACGCAGATCCTCTCCAGCCTGGGTCCTACATCGAGTTAGTGCGAAGGCGGACTCGCACTAAAGTCCACACCAGCAAGCTACTAGCTCGGGTGGACCGGGAACTTAAGGATTTGCGGGAGAAGCATGCATGCTTGTGGGGACAGTATAATCTTGTGCGGAAGTCGCACACCCACTACGACACATTGAAGAAGGCGAGATTGGAAGAGCTCACCAGGGATGTGGTGAATACCACAGAAGAACTGATTTCTAAGAAGACTCAGAATCAGGTTCTGTCAAAGGAGCTCGTGCGACAGACGCGGTTGTTGGCGGAGTGTCAGCTCGCACGACAGGCGGATGAAGATTTGATCCGCAGGCTATAGTCGGAGTGCGGGGAATTGAGAGCTAAGCGTGCGGAGGCCGAATCGAAGTTGGTGGTAATTGAAGATGATCGCAGGCGAGAGGCATATCGCACGAAGGAGGAGATGGCGAGGCGCGTTGGCCACTATCTCAAGGGCTACGCCCACTGGGAAGTGGCGGCGCAGGAGAAACTCACACTGCGTGAGTTGGAGCTTCGTGCAACCGGGTTGTTGGCAGGTGACAGTAGGAGTCGGCGGCGAGTAGCGAAGAAGTTAGATTCCTTTCTGTCGAAGGCGCGGGATACCATGTCCACCCTCGAGGCGGAGGTGTTCGCGGCATTACAGCGTTTGGGACTGCGCAGTCGAGCGGAAGACTGGCAGGGTAGGGAGTTAGTGCGCGGCAGTCCGTCGCGCAGGAGGCGAAGCACAGGATCTGCGGAGTGTAGTGTAGCGTGGTTCCGTGCAGGCGTGTAGCATAGTGCAGTGTAGTGCTAGTTAGGACCTAGAAGGTATAAAGTAGTTCAAGGCGTCTTGCCTTGGGATCTTTTCCAACATCAGAAGTGCAGATCAGGAATTCATTTTCTCTACGTGTTTGTGTCCTTAGTTCTGTCACCACGCAAGAGGAGCTACAACTTGGCGTTCCGCATTTTGTAGCTGAAGGCCTTCGGCCGAATGTTCAGAGCTAGTACATTGGTTAGAGACTTGAGTAGTTCGGATCTACACCTGCGGGTGATTGCCGATGCTTAGAGCCAGTGACTAGTTAGATACTTGAATAGTTTCGCCCCTACACCTTCGAGTGTTTGTTCCTGATTGTACTCCTTCGGGATTTTTACCCTAAATGCCAAAGTGAAGTTTTGCTACTTCGTGTAAGCCTTGGTTGTAAATTCAGGTTACGCTGCAGCAGGTGCCTTTGGGGTAGCCCTGTAGTATTTCTGGGAATGACAAGTGCCTAAGAATTCAAACTCTTCAATAGACTGTTATGGTGTGTTACTGGAATGTTTCTCGGTGAGACCTTATGTGCGGACCTGTGTTCTCTGCGTGTTTTGTGAGTTGAGAGTGTTGTTCACCGCGTATGAGTGACTTTGATCCGAAGTAGGCAGTCCAAACCGGGTTTCCTACGCTAGCAGCAAGCTAGTGGAAGTGTTGTAAAAGCCGGAGTTGGGAGTCACTACCCGCAGCTTCGCTGAGTGTACTCTTGAGAGACTTTCCCCCCTGAAATCTTGAGTAGAGGTCCTAACGGATCTCTGGGTTGTGTTTCTGTAGTTTCAGGTGTGTGTGTGTGTGTGTGTGTGTGTGTGTGTTACGCTGCACTGTGCGATCTCCGAGTGCGCTCTGAGTGGACACTTGCAGTATTTCTGGGAGTGACAGTCGCCTGAGAATTCAAACTCCTCAATAGTCTGTTAAACGTGACACTTTGTACCCTGTGTGTTCCTCTGTCCCTGTGGGTTCGACCTTTCTACCACTATATTGCAGTTTTAGCCTTTAGTGGGCTATTACAAGGAACTGGGAGTGGAACTCGGAGCTAGGATAGACCACAGCGGCTGTGGTATTGAGAAAGTCACCCAGAGTTGGGTTAGATCTTTATGTAACAAAGAGCTTGTGTGCTGCTCTTGTGGAGATAACAGACATCAAGTTATTATTTTCAGTTCTAGATAATTTGTCTGTGAAAGAGCAAGTGTTTATGATCTCATTGTCTTGAATACACTTTGACCACATGGTCGAGATCAGAGAAGTTAGATTATGGGAGCTCGAACCCCCACCTGGACTACAAACCCTGAAGGGTGGGGAGTTTAGGCTCACAACCCCGTTCTTTGCTTCCTACCTATCCTTATCCAGAATCAAGCCCCCAAACAAAAAAAAACCCCCTGAATCTGAACCGACGAAATTCCCGGACCTTCCAGCAACCGACTGGTCGTACCCCGCTCCCTCCGACGAGAACTTTGTCGACGCGTTCGAAAATGTTTTATTCGCCACCTCACCAGCTTCGTGATTCTTGAGCCCCGACTCAAAATCCCCCAACACTTGCGATTCAGCGCCTTGTGTTTCCAAACTGTTGATCTCTCATTGGTTCATTTGTTGTGCGTCTAATTCCAGGCAAACCTCACGCTCTTTTCTTCTCCCCTCGAAGCTCCTAGACGCTCCTGCTTCTGGCTGCACTTCTACCGCTCTACTCACTCCTCCCGAGCTTCTTCGTTGCCAACACACACACCCTCATCGCTCGCGCTCCCCCTACTCGACCGTCGTTGCTCGAGCCATCACTCGCAAAGCCGCGCTAATGCATGCCATGCAGTCCTTCCTTCCTTCCTCCACCGTCCAGCCACAAACTCCCTGTTGCGCTTTCCTGCTCCTCTGCTCTGCTTCTTCTCCAAAGTCCAAGCCGCAGGGCACACAAAAGTGGAGAGAGAACAAGTGCGAGCCTTCTTTTGTCCAGCGCTCGTTGCTTCGTTCGTCCGCTCGATCGCTCCTGCTGCTGCTGCAGCTCGTCCTTCTCCGCCTCGTCGTTAGGTTTTTCCCTTCCGCTTTACCCCCACAAGCACCTAACTCACAACCTCTCCGGAAGATGAATACTCTTTTGCAGCACAATGAAGGGATCACCTTTCCAACAGCTTCTTGAATCATTTTAATTCCACATTAGAACACTTTGGAAGCAATACGTGTGCCTCTGTATCCACAAGAATGATGTACTTCTTGCTAAACCTCATTTAACCTCAACTCGCATCTCCGATCAGCTGCCTCTAACTGAAAAGCGTTACAAAGTCCAAGAAAAGGAACGAAGCCAAGAAGGTAGGTCAGATCAGATCAAGACGACTCCAACTCATGCATCCACCCTCACCTCTCGTCGCATTGCTGTATGCACAGAAAACCCAACCAGCCTCACGAAATCCTGACAAACGCACAGGAAGTGCGATCAATCCTCAATCCCAGTTAAAGTCATCACCAAGTGCGAGTGCCTGTTTCCTTCCCCCGCTACATAGTTTGAGCTTCAATCCTCCGCCCAAGATCAGAAGCCATAATTTGATTGCGCGTGCCACATGTCTGGTGCTCACTTCCATTTGCACGCACACAATTAATGCTAGAACACTGGTCCAAGACTCAGATCTCTGTCATTGCTGCCCTCTTTTCCTCTTCCTCTATTTAACCTTCACTACATCTTACTAACACTATTCATTTATTTTTCTTTTCTATTTAAATATTCTAATCTCTTATACTCCTGTACTTCAACCAATTCTGACTATCTAGTCCTAAATTAAAATGTGAGCACTGAAGGAAGCTCACAGCCACAGCTCTATCTCTCCTACTCCCGCTCGGGTCACAGGCAGCCGCTACGCTGCCCAGATGTGAAATGTCCCAGCAAAAGCAACTCATATTGTCTCCGTGTGAGATCTGGCGGGGATTATAGTTTCTCAATCGGTGTAGTGCGTTTGAGTGGACACGTTCAGAGTGCTGTTCATTAGCGATATTGTATATTCGTACTCAGAGTTCAAATCTGTGTACATAAAGAATGCATTTCCGTGCATCAGGTACACACTTACTCATTTTTTAACAACACTTATTCAAAGAGACAGAGACTTCATGCATCTGGATGCAATGCTCACGGATGGACTACCGGGCAATTCCCATTAAAAGACTTCGTGACAGACTACAACCCAATATCAAAAAAGGGAAACATGATAAATATTTACTCGTGGTTTGGCTTCCCTGCTATTGTAACTGAGAAGATAATGCAACGGACTTTTTAAAATTGACTAATATAACTTTGTTTGCGTACGCTCTTAGCATCAGCACATTAACAAACAAAACGAATCACATGCATTTTTGAAGTGGAAATACTCAGGTTTATCTGACAAGCCTCCAAAGGCACTTTTATGAAAACTATGATGGTTACTATCAATTGTCACATCAGCAACAATAGAATCCTTCAATTATTAACGTTGAAAGGTTGCTAACAAAATTGCATAGGCGAGATGTAAGGAAATGAAAGAAGTCTCTGAGTATATTCCGTACATTCCAATATTTACTGAAGGTATCAACAAATCGTTAGATTGAGGACTCTGAGGTTAGAGCATGATAACGCAAAGTGGATATTGGTTCCTGAATGAAATCGAATTTATAATACTTCGACCCATATTGTTTTTTCGAATGGCATAGTACATTAGTACATAGAACGGTCTTGTTAATGAGAGGTTTGAAATCGATAACTCGAAGACAAAAATTTTCTGTCTTCAAATACGTAGTGAAGGCTGGATCTGTATTTAGAACAGGCCCTGCAGGGAGTATGTAATCATTTCAGCTTGCTCACTTTTCTCTAACTGTGATATTTCACAATTAATGTTTCTAGAACTCAGAATTCAAATTTAAAAAAGATCACATTCTTCAGTAAACGCATGACACATGGATGAAACTCTAGATTGGTGGGCCTGGGAAGCCCGAGGAAAAAAGCCAAACTTTATAGTACTGATTAGCATTAGCCGTGGGTGCAACTTGGCACCTTCTTACAAGGTGTATACAGCTCTTGTAAGGTGAGAACTCGAAGATTTGCTTACTTGGTCGTGAAATAGATACTGTATTATTACGCTTCGTTCAACATAAGTAGTATTTATGTTTTGGTACTCTGAAGTTAGACTCACAAGCGATCCAGTTTAGGCTTTACATATTGGAGGTTGTAGAGCAATGTGTCACCTGACGAATGATCAAAGTGCAGATTTTCTTAACCTCATATATGGTTCTAACTCAGGAATCTATTCTGGAATACAAAATCATCCTCTTTGATAAGGTCAGTGAAAGTTATTTGCATATATGACTATCTCTGGCACACTGCCTGAAATCGGAGGTTTCGTGTGTCATCCTGAATGATTGTTAGCCCCAGATTCGAACTCAGGTCAACTTCCTTACGGCCTCTGAAGTTCACTGTCCCCACAAAGATCTACTTCCTGAAAGATTTTCTTCTGTACCGCCCGCTGCTTGACTGAAATGCTCTGTGACATGCAGCGGCAGATCGGGATCTGTTCAGCTTTTCTAGCCCGTTTTCTCTCACAGCATACTTCAAACAAGCATGTTATTATTATTGCTTGTGTTACATATGCCCAGTTTATATTCCGACAATCTACAACCATAGCAAGACATGTACCAAGTAAAAATTTCATGATCTCTTCCACCAAACGAATAATGAGATCATGGAACGGGGCTTATCGTGAGTGAAAAGACATGTCATCTCGTAGTAAGTGATAATCATGAGACATAACTTTGAAAAAACCTGACTTTCTATAGAAGTGAAAATAACTTTGAAGATGATATCACGTGATGATGAATTATAGCCCAGTTTACATACCATAGAATTACCTTGTTTGAATAAAAATAATGAAAGTACATATTATTTGCTCTAAAAAACCACTCAACAGCGTGGGACTCTATTCACTATTTTCTATTGGACTTATTCATGAGATGTATTAGGTTTGATACAATCCATACTATTCAAATATTCTGCCTTCACGACATCAGAAAAATGACATCTCCATGGGTTCAAGAGTAAGGTACCCTCAACGCAAAGTATCGTCTTAAAGCCATCGCGACATTTTTCCAAATATGCATAAGGAGGACAAAATTTGTAACACTGAGTAGCTTTAGAAAAATCTCTAGTTTTATCCATTGAAACTTTATAGTAAATATAAGCTAAGCTACTGGAGTAATACAGTGGAAAATCGCCAATTTCAGCAAGTTGTCCCTCTCAAATGAGCTGGTGATCTCACTTAGGAACTTCCGTCATACACAGCTATTCGATGCAGTGGTGGTAACCGAATTTGAAATAATGCGGTCACCACATTGGAGACAGATCAAGTTCCACAAAAACGGCAAAGACTCCAAAGACCGAAACAACTCGATACTGGAGACAAGAACAGCGTAAGGTAGCGCGGTTTTTAAAACAAAAACAGGAAACCAAAAAATTGCTTGCCAGCACAAGATCTACGTCGAGCCGTGGAGCGGGGACCCGCGGCATATGTAGGATGCTGCTGTGGCATGTTATGACCTTTTTGCTGTTGCTGCATATGATATTGCGCGACCTGAGTAAGCTCTGAAAGACTCCCGTTATATGCAGGATGCTGCTGTGGCATGTTATGAACTTGTTGCTGCATATGATATTGCGCGACCTGAGTAGACTCTGAAAGACCCACGTTATATGCAGGATGCTGCTGTGGCATGTTATGAACTTGTTGCTGCATACGATATTGCGCGACCTGAGTAGACTCTGAAAGACCCGCGTTATATGGAGAATGCTGCTGTGGCATGTTATGAACTTCTTGCTGCATATGATATTGCGCGACCTGATTAAGCTCTGAAAGACTCCCGTTATATGCAGGATGCTGCTGTGGCATGTTATGAACTTGTTGCTGTTGCTGGTGTTGCATATGATATGACGTTGTCTCTGTAAACGCGAATTGCGTAGGCTCTGAAAGACCCACGTTATATGCAGGATGCGCATCTTCCAGCAAGAGTATCATTAGCTTCTCGGCCCAAGCCGATTTGAGCTCCTCCAATCTCTCGACCTCGCTCTGAAGACGCTTCAATGTTCCGAACTGTCCATTTACAGGATCTTGTTCCCGAGCGTCGGACTCCTCGCATATAGTCTTCATGAGATCCTCAACTGAGTTTTTATTCTGTCCTATGAGCCTCAAGATGCTCGCTACTCCGAAGAGCCTGTGGGCGTTAGCAAAGCGCCGGGGCTCGTCTGGAGGGAACCACGGCGCCAGCGGGCAGTCCACTAAGCATTTACGACGCTGGAACTTGCAGGCAGCGCACGCTTGCAGCGGATGGGTGGCCATGATCGATGACAGGAGGACACCACGATACTAGAAAACAATTCCGCGTAGCCGCATAAAAAGGTGTGGGAAATCACAAGACTCTGAATGTGACAACGAGTAACGTCCAGGAAAGATCAAAATAGACAAATCGCCGTTATAAAGGACTAAAAAACAGCTATATAACTCCAACAGCAACATAGATAGCCACCACATTCAAAACGCCACGCCCCGCCCGCTACTCCCATCGACACCTTATCAAGTCCTTCTATCAAGTCCTTCGGCGTAGCGGATCAAAAGCGACGGTCAGCAGCACTTTAGAAGTAGGACAGTACAGGCGGCAACTACATCCTGCAGTATGAAAGTAAGTGTTGGCGGAGTTTCCTCCAGGAAACTCTTGAGCGGTAGAAAGCTTCACACGAATTTGGCGCGCACGGCTTTGGTACCCTTTTTTCCGAGGCCTCTTTTTCCGCCTGTCTTCGTATTTGAAGATGCTTAATCATTTGATACATCCAGTTCATTTTTCTCTTGAAAAGGTGAACGTGTGAGTTTTGTTCTTACCCGATACTTATGAGTTGCATATTATGTTGTGTCGTACGATTACGTCGTCTGGATTTCGTATGTACTACAGTGTACGACAAGCTGATTTGATATTGCCCATAAATTATGCGAGTACTCTTGGGAGGATTTTACTTTTCAAAACCTAAAAATCCCTCTGGCTTTGTTGACACATGATTGCTTTCCAGCCTCACTTCAGCACATTCGGACTATCGTTGGCAGAGTTTGCTAACCAGTAGAGTAGCTTTGCCCCTTCGTTATAGCCTCAATTGGATACCCTCGTCCCTAGTCTGCAGACTAAACAATCGAGCCAGCCTTGTCTTGTATTCTAATTTAGTACATGTAAACTAACAGCATGAGGCCCAACCTAAAGGGCAATATCTATATCCCAAGCCTTGTAGGTTTTAGATTGGTTGCTTCAAGTAAGAAATGTTATTGTGGTACCCCACTTTTGGTAATTTTGAGGAAATTAAAACATTTTTTGAAAACTGTACCACGGTAGCAATGTAAATAGCCTTCGGTGCATCAAAACAGAGTGAATTCGGAAGATCGCAGAGATTCTCGAGGGACCTCCTAGAATCTAGGAGTTGGGTGCAGCGGTAAGGAAGGGCACCACCCTCCCTGCGAGCTCTGCAGTTAGGATCCCTACGGCGCAAGGCGCAAAATATGCCTTCGGCGCTGCGTCCGCGGCGGTAGGGAAATCCTTCATATTTAGGTCAACACCCAAACGTCTTGACTTAGTTAGGGTCTCGTTGGAAAGAGCTCGACGCGCTGATTCCAACGAGCCCAAGAATGCCAACAACGGATGAGGACTTCGGGAGTATGAAGGTTGTAAGATACTCAGCTCTTCGCCTGTGCACAGGCGGAGAAGTTTTGTCCTATGCGCGGACGAAGTAAGTTCGCCTGCGCACAGGCGAAATAGGGTTTTGATGTAGGCGCAAAGTTTGCCTACGCACAGGCGTCCGCCTGTGCACAGGCGCTTCGGCGTCGGCGGAAAATCCGCCTTCGGCCCTAGAAATGCGCCTTGTGAGGTAGAAATTGTACGGCGCCTTCCGCGCCAGCGCAGCAGCGCGGACGAGCAAGTAGCCGCCAGAATAGTAAAATCCGTACGGATCTTACGGACTGTACGGACGGGACGGATGGATGCGCTCTTGGACGGACGGAGTTGCGGCGGCGGAGCGCGCCGACGGAGAGACAAAGAACAGACAGTCTGGACGGAGGCGGTTGACCGCGGTCAACGCCTTCCGCGCCAGCACATCGACGCGGACGGACTTCGCCTGCGCACATGCGAGCGCCTGTGCACAGGCGGGTGAAGTTCCGCGCCGGCGGAGAATCCGCCGAGGAGTCCGCCTGCGCACAGGCGGGAGTTGAACTTTTGTCCGACGTGCGGACAAGCGCCGAGGCAGAGGAGGATTGGCTGAGGAGCGGTACGAACGAGTGTACCGCGCAAGGAGGAAAATCCGCCTTCGGCGCTGCGCACCCGTGTCCGCGGCGTAGTACGCACGCGGAGTTCAAATTCGCCAATTCAAGCGTGAGAGTTAAATCGGCGTCGGCGGAGCGTGAAACCGCGCGTGAGAGCGGAGACCGTTTTAGCGTAGAGCCGGCGCGGCCATCAATTGAGTCGTCCTTCACGAGCAAGAGCCGACCATGACCTTCGACCGGAAGGCGGAGAGCGTCCCATTCTTGAATTCACGATTCCATTCTCTAGTGCGAGCTGCGCGCGTCCATCTGCTAGCTGCTAAGCATTCTCGACATCGCCGCGAAGAGGATTTCTTGGTGATTGAGGGAGAAGTGAATGCGCGTGATTTGGAATTGAGGGAGATTAGAGTTTGCCGAGGCAAAAAGGAGCTCGAGCGGAGCGGGAGGCGAATTAGCGAGCAGGCGAACTCCAAGAACGCAATGGCGAGACTGGGCCGATTGCGGATGCTGCCGCTCCGACTACCACAGAACGGGCTGCGCGCTTTCGAGGAGCGCCTGATAGCAAGAAAGCTCGATTTAGGGGGATGGAACAACATCTGTGTGGATATGGTGCGCGAGTGGCTAGAGCCACAGGGACCACCTACGCGCGGATTGCGGCCGCATGTTGATCGATGGACGGTCCAAGATTGGGCGCAGGCATTGGGGAGATGTGCCGGCATCCCAGGGCACCTCCTCTTCGATAGTGAGAGCGTCAAGGTGTCCAAGCAGGACGAGGCGAAATTTGTGGAGCTGTTCAAGCGGGGGAAGTCTACCAAGAATGGGTACAAGACCCGCGATTACAAGGATCGATTCCGCCGAACTTTGGCTACGGCGCTGCTGCAATTACTGCAGCCACACCGCGCCTGCTACATCACATTGTGGCAGGTCTCTTTTGTGGAGTGCATCATCGAGGGAGCTCCAATTCACTGGGCGAGCATCTTGCACAGGGTGATGCGACAGCACGCTTTTGAGGAGAAGGGGGGAACTCTAAATCATCTCTCTCCTTTCCTCATCAATTTTAATCGACAGCGAAATTGTTTGACCGCGGCGGAGCTTGCTCGTTTTCCACCGTTGTCCGTCGACCATCCCGGGAGGTATGTGCGGGAGAATGAGGTCGGCACTGATGCAGAGGAGTCGCCGACTTCTACTCCGTCAAGGCGGAGGGACGAAGGGAGAAATACTCCTGCAGCAAGAGTGCCGCGGAAGCGGCGATGGAGAGAGAAGTCCAAAGAGGAGCAGCATCAAGAACCCACTGCTCCGATTCGACCGCGGCCGTTGTACGAATCGTACAGCCGGCCGAAGCAGAAGGCGCGTAGGCTTGTGTTACCAGCCAGCAGCGCGGACACGGCGACGATTGCCACGGAGAAAGGAAGTGCGTCGCCGGAGAAGAACGAGGGAGCGCGGACGTCTGCAGCAGCAACGGAACCCGCTGCATCTTCGACGGACGAGAGGCCGCCTACGGGCCAAGGGCCTCCGGAGTTACCGCGTGCGTTGCGGACAGGTGTTCCGCCTGCGCACAGGCGAGCCTCGACGGACGGGCGAGCCTCGACGGATCGGCGACCACAAGCGGGCGTGGACCTACGCCTATGCGTGGGAAGAAGCAGTCCGCCTGTGCACAGGTCGCCTCAACACGTGCCGCCTGTGCACAAGCAGGAATCACCCCCGTTCCAACGGAGGAAGGGGAAGGATCCGGCGGAAGATCCGCCTACGGGACACAGGCCTTCGGGGCCAGACCCTCCGGCGCACAACGCGCCGCGATTTGCGCCTTCGGCGCCAGGGCCTTCGGGCCGAGGAGATGCGAGCAGGGAGCGTGCGGAGGCCGCACCATCGGCGGGTAATCCGCCGGTAGAAGTGCCTTCGGCGGTAGGGCCTACGGGCCAAGGGACATCGGGCGAGCGGCCCCCGGCTATGTCGCCTTTGGCGATAGACGCCTTTGGCGCTGCGCCTGCGGCGGACAAGGCGCCGGCATTTGCGCCTGCGCACAGGCCAGGCACAGCCCCCGCGCAGGACCGATCGAGCGAGCAGCACCTGACGGAGGAGCGGATTGACTGTCCGCGGGACGAAATTTCGGTGCGCGATGCGCAATCAAACCCCGCGCAGACACCCTCTGCTATATCGCCTTCAGCGGCGGACGTCGGCGGCAGAGAGGATACGATTGAAGACCGACAAGCGGGCGACGGGGATGTAGCACGGCCACATTCGCCCACCGCCTTAGACATTTTGGCGAAGAGCAGCGAGGCTGCAGCGGTGCCTTCGCAGGCAGCACACGTCGACGACGTGCAGCCCCACTCGGGACAGTCGCCAACGCAATCAATGGCGACTGAAATCCTCAACTCGGATGATGACGACGGAGGCTCCACCGAAGCAATGTTGGGAGCAGGGGATACCAAGGAGGAGGAGGAGGAAATTGTTGGAGCGCCGGCGGCGGCGCTCTCTGAGCAGGTGATACCGTTGCTGAAGTACTTGGATCGCAAATTCGATAAATACGCCGATCCACTTCAGCCGGGATCTTACATCGAATTAGTGCGCAGGCGGACTCGCACTAAAGTCCACACTAGCAAGCTACTAGCTAGGGTGGACCAGGAGTTGAAGGAATTGAGGGAGAGGCATGCCTGTTTATGTGGGCAGAACAACCTTGAGAGGAAATCGCACGCCCTCGACAGGATGCGGAAGGAGAGATTGGAAGAGCTCACCAGGGAGGTGGTGAAGACCACGCAGGATTTGATGTCTGAGAAAACTCAGAATCAGATTCTGTCAGAGGAGCTCGTGCGGCAGACGCGTTTGTTGGCGGAGTGTCAGCTCGCACGGCAGGCGGATGAGGATTTAATCCGCAGGCTACAGTCAGAGTGTGGTGAATTGAGAGCACAGCGTGAGGAGGCCGAATCGCAGTTAGTGGTAATTGAAGAGGATCGCAGGCGAGAGGCAGATCGCACGAAGGAGGAGACGGCGAGGCGTGTCGCCCACTGTCTCAAGGGCTACGCCCACTGGGAAGTGGCGGCGCAGGAGAAACTCACACTGCGTG